AAGGGCTGGGGGGCGCCAGCCAGCTGCAGATGAACTTCTGTGCCCCAGCAACCACTGCTGCTGCTGGGCAGGCCTCTGCAGCCACCTCGTCAGCAGACAGGCAGGTGCTGTGACAAATTTGCAGGCTGATCTGGCTTTGTGCATGCCTCCCCCCGCAACAGCTGGGGAGCGGGCCTGATAACCCTGCCCTGTTGTGGCTCAGCTGGCCCCACAGCAAAATAGGGCTCAGTGTCAGGGCTGCAGGCTGGCACTCTATTGTGCCTGAGATTAGAAGGGTGTATTGAAAAGAAAAAAAGAAGGAGGAGGAGAAGACCACAAAGCTTATATGTATCTTACTTTGCTGGGGGTTGGTCATGAGCCAGTTGCTCTGAACTCAGTCACCATCTGTCTTTGGGGTACCTGGAAAGAGAAAATAACAGCAATGTCAAAATTCCTGTGCTGTGAGACAGTGCTAGTGCTGGCATCACCCCAGGTCACACAGGTTTCCGGGCCAAGAGTATCTGCAATGATACAAGTGTGTGGGACTGACTGGAAAATACCCTGCATTTTCCAGCAGTCCTTAGACATGGTTGTAATGTCTTTTGAAGAAAGGCTTGGCAGGAAAAATTTGCTTCCCATCCAGCCCCTAATGCTGGCTCCAGGCGTGGGAGCCTCCAGAGCCCCCAGGCTTGCTCGCACCCGGCAGCTCGGTGTGCTGCGAGGTACCGGCAGGCTGCCTGCAGCCCGGGTAGCGCAGCGAGGGCTGTGAGGAGCTGGGAGTGTGCTGGGATGCCGGCCCCGACAGGCAGCACAGGCAGGGAAGTGCCAGGTAGGCTGGAGTGGGAATGAGAGGGAAGGAAAACACTTCACCATGAAAGTCGAGGTGAGCAGGATGTGAGAGGAATAGTGAGATGCTTGTGTGGCTGGAGATCCTCTACAAAGCTTGGACAACAGTGCTGACACTCTGCAAAAACTTGCCTTGCAGCAAAGCCTGCCAGAAGTGGGCCCTGAAGTAAAGTAAATGAAAGTTGGGATTTAGTGCGAAACAGCAAACATTGTGGAGAAGCCCCCCAAACCCAGCTGTGTTTGCAAATTCAGCTGTGTAAAGTCTCACATTCCCATGGGCTGCAGCAGGGGAAAATTCCCTCTGTGCATCTGTGGCCACCCTGCGGCTACCTGTGCCTGCAAGGGGGATGCCACAGTGTGACGGGGTGCAGGGGCTTAGTGAGGGGCACCACTGCAAGGGGTAGCACTGGAGGGGAAGTAAGAAGGTGGAGTGGACCAGTTGAAGGTTGGAGGAGAAGGGTGAAAGAGAAGAGAAAGGCAAGAAGGATAAGAAGAGAACAGATGGAGTGATTTCAGCCACTGCTTGTGAGCAAGTCCAGGTAGGACTGTTGCGGGTTAGTATTAATTGAAGCATGCAGGGTCTACACCCTTGCTGAAATCAGGGCAAAAGCCCTGCGTATAGCCCTGGTAGTGAGGAACTCCCAAAGTAAGTTGATTAGACAGAGCATGCCAAAAGGATTATTTTTCCCAGTTTGCAGGCAGAGAACTGGGAAAGCATGGCAAGACTAAACGACTGACTCAAGGTCACGGAGCAAACCTCTGGCAGACGGGAGCAGAAGCCCAGCCCAGCTGGTAGCTTATGGAGCTCAGCCCTTGAGTGCCTTGGGGCTGCCTTGGCTGACAGACTGCCACCGCAAGGCACAGAGCGTGTGTGAGCCGCTGGATGCTGGACAAAATGCTCCAGCATTTGATACAGACATGAGTAAGAGGTCATGGTCTCCTCTGGGTACTCTTGCTTGCCATGTCTGAACATGGAGAAACTTGTTTCTTTTAGCACATAGGAAGGAGGAAAACCGCTCCTTGGTTCTTGCCAGCTGGTAAAGGCTTCAAGAAGAAAACGTTCTGTACAGATTTAACTGCTATTTTCTGCCCTGTTGCCAGGACCACAGCACATTGCTTCTCCCAAGGTATTCTTCAGTTCATTTCTCTCACCTTCCAGTAAAACACCTCTTCCAACTTCTGCTTGCCATGTGCTTTTTGTCCTGCAGGTGTATGAACTGGATGGCACCCGGCACAATAAATCATGGTCTGTGGCAACCTATCGGGAAGTGACCAGGCAGTTTGTGAAGGAGCACCCTGACTTTCTTGGAGCCAAGATTATATTTACAGTACACAGGTAGAGGCTGAGAGGAGCTAAGAGCAGCCGTGCATGGCTGGCTGTGCTACAGCAGAGGCAGTGGTGGGGAGGGAGGGGTCCAGACCAGGAGAAATGATGCTGAGGACTGGGCTGAAGTGCCACAATTGGTTAGCAATGACCGTGTGTGATGTCAGACCTGGGGTGTTGACTCCCAAAGCATTTCCTGGCACATGTAAAAGGCTGAGGATGAGAAATCATCTATATAAGTCTGCGTACGTGTGAAGCGACCAGGGTTAGCTCATGGTGTGCACTGGAGAGACAAGCCTCTGTGAGCCCTGGGTGTGGGAATGAGCAAGGGGAGGGCTGCTTGCGTGCGTGTGTGTCCAAGCCGTGCATGCTCTCTTCCTGAGCCTGGACGTACTCCTCCTCTCTGCAGAAACTGAAGCAGTGACGGCAGTGCCTGAGTATGGACACTTGGTATCGCAAAGGTCCTTGTGGAACCCTGCAAACGCTGTTCTCCCGGCAGCCTTTGTATGGTATATTTGTGCTGCTGTTCGCAGGAGGGCACAAGGCTGTTCTCCAAGTCAGCCAGATGCCATGAAGTCATGTGAGGTGATCCTGAGCAAATATAACAGACCTCTCAGCAGCACTTACTCTGGCTCGGCACGATGCCCTTTCCAGTTCAGAGCTGGCTTGCCTGTGGCCAGCTTGGGTATGGACAGAGTCTGTCTGCAAAAGGCACTGTGATGTTTAAGTCCGATAGGGCTGGAAGAAATCTAAGTTTAAAACTCTCTAGAAACACAGCTACTGTCCCGCATCCCAACAAAACAGTTGAGAGTTAAAAAAAAATATTTACACATTTTATCTCCTTGCTGTTGTGTTCCCTGCTTGGTAGATGGGAAAGTCAGCGAGTCAGACAAGCATGCCTCAAGTCAAGTGACAGCAGGGTCTAGCCAGGCATTTCCTGGTCATTCAGGGGTTTCCTTTCATAGTATCAATTTTCTACTGCTGTTACTCTGGAGACCTGAAGCTGGTTGTCAGATTCAGGAGCAACTTCCATTTTGGATATACCCCTGGGGGCCTTGTTTCTCAACTCAAACCCAAAGAAGGCAGGCCCATGGGACTGAGCCTCTGCACTGCTTTCTCTCTCTTGCTCTTTAGGATGCTGAATGTTTCCCAGATTAAAGAAGCCATCGTCACTGCCATGGCACTCAGAGCCCGCTTCCCAGACACCCTGGCAGGCTTTGACTTGGTAACTGTATTTCTTCTGTGGCTTTGCATTAACCCCTAGAGGTGCGATAAAAGTACATGTATAATATGGCATATGTTTTATACCAGAGCCAGATCCTCTGCTGCTGTACTAAAATCGGTGTAAATGAATTGCAAATCCTCCAGTTAAGGATTTTGTTGAGGGTAACTGACAAAATCCCCTGAAAGAATCAGCTCCCTACCCCACAGCATTGTAATTTCAGTACAGTTGGCACCTCAGTGATACACAGCTGTAACTCCCACTGTCTTCCAGAGCATGTTCAAAAATACCTTTCCTCTTTCCCCCAGGTTGGTGATGAGGATGAAGGTCATTCTTTATGGGACCTGAAGGATGCCCTGACCATCCCATATTCCCTGGGGGTCAACTTGCCATACTTTTTCCACGCTGGGGAGACTGGTAAGCACGAGTACTCAAAGCCTGCTATTGCTTGCAAAGGCAAGAGATGAAGTCTTGCAAAGCACAGAAGAAGCAAACCTGGCTGTATCAAGGTGATGTGTGTGTATACACGTGTGTATAATCAGTTTTCCCTATGCTTCTCCCCGTAACCTCTTGTTCCTATAGCATTCCTACATGGCACCTCCCCTAACTGTCCCCTGCTCCTGACTGTAGGCATCACATTGCTCAGTGCCTTTGCCCTGTGTATGACATGGAGTCACGCTGCAAGAGTTATTGCTGGTAGCCATTTCCTCCTCAGAGCAGTGCTCACCTCCCATCCACAGTGGCAGCAGAATTCCTCAACCATTATTTTACATATTAAGGTGAAGGAATGTCTGAGCCAGCCTCAAGTCTTAAATGAGTACAGTAACTGATAGCTACCCTTCATTCCTGGGCCAATGTATTATAATTTGCAATATATTATTCAGTCCATATGGGTGGGATTTATCCTAAACATGCATGACAGTTGTGTCTAACTTGTATGTTATGCTTATTGCATGTTGACATCTACAGAGAAGATGTCTATGTCTCAACTAGTTGTCCTAGGCGCCCTTTACAACCATGGACAGTAACAAGCACTTCTAAGGTGCAGTACATCTCATCCTAATGCACAAGCTATTCCTCAGAAATTATTACTTTTCTCCATTGACCATGAATGGAGACCAGCATGATTAGCTTAGCTGTAAGAGCAATACTGTGGACATCTAAAACCAGGTGAGACGAGTGGGTATCTCTATGCTGGGCAATGTCCTGGGCAGATTTGGATCCCTATTTCACTGAGAATGCAAAGTGGGAATTTAAAGCCTGAGCAACCCTCTCACCTTGCAACTGGGACATTTATTAACAAAATCACCCAGCAGTTTGAGAAGATATATTTTCCTCACAGCACTGCAGTGATTCTTACCTGTCTCTGCTCAGACTGGCAGGGTACCTCTGTAGACAATAATGTGCTGGATGCATTGCTACTGAATACCAGCAGGATTGGCCACGGACTTGCCCTCATGAAACACCCAGTAGCCAAAAGCTTGTCTCTGAAGAGGGATATTCCTATAGAAGTCTGTCCCATCTCCAACCAGGTATGTTGGTAAAAGCTTAGATCTTGGGGCTGGGACACTGGAATGGGATTTTCCATAGCAGCGGGGAGCAGCAGCGAGCTAGGGCGGGCAGCTAGACATTTTGTTGCACCCAGGCTGGCTCAGTTTCCTCTGCAACACATTACACTGCAGTCTGCTATGTAGACACATGCTGTGTATATATAAGGTTTGTAAGCCAGTCAGCTCAAAACCATTTAAATTCCTATCCAGAGGAACCTGGGAAGGCAGTCCTCCCTAGTGGAGATGAGGCCCAGAGCCAGGGACGTGCCTAAAGAGACATAATGGAAAATACTTCAAAGCCAGGAAGGCCAGAGGCTGCGAAGCTGCGATTGTAACTGGAAGTCTTTTGGTTTTGTGGAATTCATAACCAGGGGGAACGCTTTTGCAACACATTAGCATGGTGCCCGTTTTCCTCTGGGTGCAGCAGAAAGGATGCTCTGGGGTAGAGACGTATCGGTGTGAGCCTTGAGGGAGAGAACCCTGATACCAGCTCCAGATGCCCTAGGCTAAGCATCATGGCAAATTCTTTTAAATAAGCAGAAGTTATTCACCCCACTGGCCTTGATTTAGGTGGTTAGTTTAAGAAACCAATCTCCTTGTATAGTCAGTAGAGATAAGAAGGCTCCTCCTGCAGCAGTTGAGAGCAGAACGCCTAACACACTCTGAACAGCCCTCTGAAGGCTCTTCCTCTGCGATGACTACCTGCTGACACAGGCAGCTATAGCAGGTATGCAGTGCACCAGGTGCCATAATGCAAACACAGCTACAGCAATAACCTGATATGGTATTGTCTCCCACCCTTTGCCGACAAGGTCCTGCTGTTGGTAGCTGACTTGCGGAGCCACCCTGCAGCTGACCTCATGGCTGAAGGGCACCCCATTGTGATCAGCCCTGATGATCCCCCTATCTTTGGGGCAAAAGGAGTCTCCTATGACTTCTACGAGGTGTTCATGGCCATCGGAGGGATGAATGCTGACCTGAGGACCTTAAAACAACTTGCACTCAACTCCATAAAGTAAGTTCCTCACCTCTCTCATCTAGCTGTAGTAACGCTAAGGGAACTATCAGCTTGCTCCCTGGAAACCCACTGTATCTGGGTTTTGGCCCCAAAGTCTCCTCTGCGGCATGAACTGGGCTTCCGTTAATCCAAAGTCTCCTCTGTGTGTCTCCTCCAAGGGCAGGACACAGGGACCCCAGAGGCTCCTCTGCCCATGGCCTTGAGTGCCTTTCTCGAACTCAGTGTCTCAGTTTATTCCTCCTTTTCCATCTTTTGCAAATTTGCCTCCAGCACCTCGTTCTGCGTACAGGAGAAATCTTATGTCTTTGTATCACTTGTCTATTTCTGCCCAAATTTTGCTTGCTGCAATGTTTGCTATGGCCCACTGGGGGAACACAGGAGAACAATCTACCAGCATGTAGTTTGGGTGTGTTTAACCACTTTTTCTATTTATCTGGACAACTCTGAATGTCCCAAAGTAGTTTGGATATGGTGCCCAGGGTCTTTCTGCACATTCCTAGACCTTTGTCTGTTTGCCAAATCCTGTGCCAATCCTCACGTGAATCCCAAGTTCCTGCACGGCCAGGGAGACAACAAATACTCTTATTTCCTACCAATTTGAACTAAGCCCACGGCACATCTGAAAGCAACAGCAGTGCTGTCTCTTCTGTACTAGTCACTGGGTGCCGCCCAGCAAGTCTCCAGCTTACGCAGACCGAGCTGTTTGTCCTCACGGTGCAGGACTCAGTAGCTGTTGATATGGCCGTGACGCTTCTGGTCCCAGCGTGGACCCAGCCGGCAGGAGCTCAAGGGTTTTTACACTGTGTTACTCTGTGGGGTGTAGGCATGTACTGCAAGGGTTAATCTGTTGCTGCTTCCTGCCTTTTCATTTTGGTCACTGATCTTGAAATAGCTGCCCCCCTGTCTCCTGCCTGATACTGACTTTTCTGCTCTTCACAGATACAGTGCCATGCTACCGGATGAGAAAGCCAAGGCCAAAGAGGTCTGGCAGAAAAAATGGGACCAATTTGTGGCTGACATCTCTGATGATAGCTTTTTGAGGGAGCTTTAGAGGGGAGGAGACTCATCTCAGAAGGCATTTGGCAAGCCAGACTTATTGCTAAGGGGGAGGCTGCTTCTTCCATGTGACCTGAGCAGATGCATGAACCTCAAAGTCTCACCTGGCAATGGGTGATTCTGGTAAGCTAGGCTTAATGGGCTTAATGCTAAGACTGAGCTGCACTATCCTGTGAAAGTCACGGGCTGGAGGTAAGAGGAAGCAGTGAGCCTTTATAGCAACAACAAAAGAACACCCCGCTCAAAACAGTCAAAACAATTAAAAATTGCCAATGACCAAATCCTGATATCCTCATTTAGGAAAAACATGCTTTCTAATTAGAGTTAGTGGGAGATTGCCAACATGAGGATCTCTGAATTTCGCCTTATCATTACAAAATGCAGACCTTGTCCGGAAACAGCAAAGACAAACATCCAACCATTTGGGCCACTGACCTTCAGGAGCGCAAGGACTGAAAATGACTCTTGTTATGTTTAACCCTGGGCCTGCTGCCAAAATAGCACTGCTAGGTCAAAGAACCAGTCATAGGTCTAACGTCTGCTATTTCAGGACCTACTATGGCTGGAAACGAGCTGATGGAACTTGCTCCCAGAACATTTAAGCCTGGTTGCACAGTGATCATAAAGCCAAAAAGAGGTGCCTCAGTTGCCAACAGTTTTTTTTTTTACAATGAAATCTTTTCCTGTCCCCTTGTCACAAGGAAGCCAAAACACTTTTCAGCTGAGAAAAAACACCCTGGCTTCCCAGATCCTGCTTAATTTAAAATGTTCCCCTGCACTAGGCCATGTTAACACAGGCCTCTGCATTTATAGGAAACACGTTTTGATTTCAGGGAGTTCCACTACCAGCCTTTGTTGCCTAACTCAGAGTGCAAACGTGCCCTTATTCAGCCTCTCAGGCAGATTTTCACCTCGGTGGAGAACTACTCTCACACTGTGGATACCCACAGTGTTCACTTGGACCTTTGTAGTTTCCAGCTCTTTGGCAAAAAGGTATTGCAGCAGCTACACAATAAATAGTGTCTGGACAAGCAGATTCCCTCTCTTAACATCACCAAAAATATCAGAAGAACTAGTTGCAGGGAGATTAAAACAGAAATCTTCATTAGGTTAGTAATAAATTAAGCAAAATCCTTCGGCACACATACCCCAAGCACGCAGCCAGGAACAACCAGTGTCTCTCCCCGACTTCAGTACAATTATGCTGGTTTGCATCAGTCAAGGGAGCGTTCACAAAAGTTCTGCTGAAAGACGTCTCCCTCCTCTGAGCCACAGATTGCGAGGACTGTCGTTTCCTGATCTGACCAGCTTGGGCAAACTGGCTCTCTCTATGTTTTCTGCTAATTGTCTCAAGCTGCCTGGCCATAGTGTGTATTTCCACTGACCTTGGTTAAACCACCTTAGCAGGAGGCAAATATACTTACTACAGCAGTGGATCAAGCTGCACAGCCTGTGCATCCCGTGTTAAATTGCACACATTTCACAGGCTGCAAGTTCATCTCTAGTTATCCCAGGGAAAAAAAACACCACACCACACTACAAATCCCATAACAAAAAACAAATAAAACACAGCAAACCAAAGGTAGCTACATTGCAGAAGCCAGCAACACAAACCACAGAAAGGAAAAAGCGAGAACCCAATCATGCACCTCGCTAACCGAGGGGGTTGAGTGCCTCACACCCCTAGCCCTATTCAGCCACAGCTGCTTCTCCTCTGCCTCTCTGCCCACATGCCCCACACCTTCCCCTGAAGCACCAGCAGCCACTCTTTGCAGGCTGGCCTTTCCTGGGCCTTGAAGCAGATTCAGTCCTGGAACGAGCTTTATACTGGAGGAGGAGCCAGAGTAGAGCTACCTTCCCTCCTCCTCTACGGGTGTTGCATACAGAGCTCAGTCTAAAACCCCCAAGGTAGGCTTTGGTCATGGTCAGATTACAAATGTTGACTTGGGAAATGCCTTATTTGTAATGCTATTCAGGAAAACTGCTGCAAACAGGTGGAATGGTTGCTAACCAATGACCCAAAGCCGTGTCCCTCTGAGCTCCCTGATCTTTCAGCTTTGCTATATGTGGATGGACAAAGATCTTTCATTTGCCAGGAGCTGATTCTCCCTTAAGTGAGCTCTTTGCTGCCAAGGTGAAGCTAATCATTACAGAGCCAGCGTGGGAGGAGCTGAGTTCCTCAACACAGGTTGACCCATGTCCCTTCCTTTTCTGCCACAGTGAAAAGGTTTCAGCGCTTCCTGCACATGGTCGCTTGAGGGTTTCAACCACCGATGGCCTTTTGGTTACCTGTAGTCCTTCTTTGTCATTACTTGCTTTAGCAGCAGGGCTAGATCTGTTTGCCAAACACTTGCTGGGACCAGTTTACCTGCTGTGTCCAGTTTGTTCTTGCCTTCCTAGGAAAAGCCTGTTGTGCACTTGGCCACTTACCTACTTTGCATCAGGAATTGTGATGTGCTGTGTTCCAGTGTCTGGAGCCACCAGTGAGTGATGCTGTTCAGGATTACAGCGCAGAACTCACTGGGAGTTTAAAATTGTAGAGGTCTGAGGTGATCTTCAGATGAAGCCTTCAGAAAGGTGAAACTTGACTCTACAGGGCTATGTTAGCATTTGTGACTCGCCTAGTGACTCCACTGCTGCTGAAGGTATCCAACTTGGGGTTGGTCAGATAGCAGAAACTTTTCTGTCCTGATCACATATGCTTAAATGTGAATCTGAGCTGCATGGAGAACCCTGACTCCAGTGGTGCAGCCTTCCTTGGATCCCTCCTTGAACAGGGCATTGCTGTGTGTGGTGACTGGGGCTTCCCAAGAGTCCTCTGGCAGCAGATGGGCTTTAACCATTTCTAGGACTCTAGCGAGTCTGACAAAAGGAAGGCCATCAGGCTTTACTGGGGGGATCAACTCTTCCTTAAAGTGGGCCTTAGTTTGGAGAAAGGTGCAAATTGAGAAACCCAGACTGCATCCTCACCTCTCTAACTCTAGGTGTGCAAAAAAGGAGGGATTTAGGCTGGAGCACAGCAGTTAATAAAGATCAGTCGATTCAGATATCCCCAAAGCTTTGGGTAAATTTGGCTGTGGGGCTTCACTGAGACCCAGCTCTTAGCATTTGCAGTAACATTTCAAGGATTTTGCTGCCAGTTCATTCCCTTGCCCTCAGTACCTCGGCTCCCTGCTCACATTTGTTGTAAAATACATCGCATATAAATGCTTTTTTGCCTGTCTCTTTCAGAACATAGTACATATTTAAGTTTTTAAACCTGTTTTAATTGTGGGGTTTATTTCCCCCCCCCTCCTTTTTTTTTTCTGTTAAAAAGAACTGAGGATACCTGTATCTGATATGAAGTTTTAATCTGGAATATGCAGTGGAGGGGGATGTTTCACATCACTCAGCCTGGAGTACAGTTATCAGGGAGTCTGAAATGTCTTCACAGCATGCTGCAAAGGGCAATTTGATCCATGGGGCTAATGCCGTGCGGAGTCAAGCCTGAGCCACCTGGCAGAGACATGACACAGGTCCTCCATGCCTCCGCCTTGCCCAAACCACATGGTAGCTGCATCCAGCTCAGGCCTGTGTTTTCATATACAGACCACCCAACAGATATGATTTGCTTGTGCTACCTCTCCTCCTGTTACAACTTTGTACCATCTCTGTGGTGGTTACAGTATGGGAAAGTAAAAGGAACTACCGAAGGTCATTTTACTTGCTTTTGGCATGAATTTAAAATGGGAAACAAGGAGAAGCGTAAATGCTACATTGACCAGCCCATTCTTCTCAAAGATGGCAAGTGCCTCAGGGAGCACCAGCTAACTACGCGGTACAACTTGAGGCTCTTTGCTCGAAGTACTGGTGGTGGGCATGGGAAGAAAGGGCCAGCTAGAGGACTTGAAAACCTGAGATGAAGGAGGTCTTTGGACAAGCAGGGCTGGAGGCAGCTGCAAGGGTGGTGGGAGGCTGAGCAGGACAGACCTAAAAGGGCAGAAAGAGCCCCCCTTCAGTCTCCACCTGGACTCAGGAGCAAGGAAGGACAGTACAAAATCCATGGAAGTTTCTGTGACAGTTCAAGCAGCCATAGGAATACTTTAAGCCTTATGCCTGTTATCTCCCCTATCTGTCTCTCCCTGTGGCCTCTTCAGGTTCAGTTTGTTTAAATGGGAGGTGGATGGAGCTTTGTCCGCAGCACACTGTGTCACAGGTCCAGCAGTGTTTTGTTGCAGGGCAGCTTAGATTGCCTTTGGGGCACGTTAGTGAATGAAATGTTTGCCTCCTGGTCACTCACTGGCAGGAAATGGCTGATCCAGCACTAGTGGTTGCTGTCAAAAATCACGCCAATAAAAACAGAGTAGTAAAGTAGCTGGTTGAAAATAGAGGTAGGCCCAAGTGAGCAGCTGGATCTATACGTCGTGTGAGCCTCCATCACTGCAGTGGGACTACGCAGTTGCCAGATACTAAGCAAAGCCCTCTGGCCATAAAACACAGGGTTACAGATGTCTTTTCCACCAGCTCCTGACACTCAGCCTGCTTCAGGTTTTTCTCCTATAAGTGTCTGAATTAGTCTCTTCACAGGTAGCAGAAGGACATTTCTTTGGCCAGAAACTTGTAGCTCTAATTGGCTCAGTACTTAATTCCTTTCTTTCCAGGCTTGCAGCAGTTGCAACCACGGCAGGTCTATCAAGTGTTTTCTGTCCACTGAGGGACAGGCAGGTGAAGGGTCTGGCTCTCAATTCTTCTGGCTTGCCATTTTTATCAGGCTGTGTCCTCCCCCTTGGTCATTACAGGATAAGAAAGGCATTTTACTGTATTTTCTCAGCCTTTAGCTTGTCCATCATTCCATGAGCAGGCTGCAGCAGAGAAAGAGAAGAGATAAACCAACAGGGGGAGGGTTGGTTCAGGCCATTAGAGCCTCTGGAGTAAGAAAAGAGATGGAAGGTACAGCTAAAATCAAGGGGGATGTGGAAGGCTGGGGGGCGGGGGTGATGACAGGGCTATGAGTCCAGGGAAAACAGAGCTGCAAAGTTTACATAGGAACCCACAGGAGAAGGCTGTGGGCAACTGCCTGTTTTGCTTGTCTTTAAAGGCAGCTAGGAAAGGGGGTGGGGGAAATGTCTAAGTACAGCATAGACAGGGGAAGAAGAGGGAATCTCCTGTGGGCTGGTGTGAGAAGGGCAGACAGACAATCTCCAGGGGTATTAGAGGATAAGGCTGTTGCCAGATGTGCCTGCAGAAGAAATCATAAGGTCCATCCACATAGAACACGCAAAATGTGAAGCTCCTACCAAAG